GAGGTATAGACTCCAGAGAGAGAGATATCATATTACCCCTGTACAAATCATTAGTAAGACCTCATCTGGAATATGCAGTTCAGTTTTGGGCACCAATTCACAAAAAGAACATTGGGGAACTGGAGAAATTGCAGAGAAGGGAAACCAAACTGATAAGAGGCATGGAGGAGCTCAGCTATGAGGAAAGAGGAACTGTATGTTTTCTCTTGAGAAGAGGAGATTAAGGTGGATATGATCAACATGTATAAATACATCAGTGGTTCATATAGTGAACTTGGGTGTGTAGAGCTATTCATCCTGAGGTCATCACAGAGGACAAGGGGGCATTCTTTTCATCCGGAGGAAAAGAGATTTAATCTCTAAAATACGGAAAAGTTTCTTCACAGTAAGAGCTGTGAAAATGTGGACTAGACTCCTTCAAGAGTTGGTTCTGGCCAGCTCAGTGGCTTGCTTTAAAAAAGGCCTGGATTCTTTCATAATATAACTGTATACTAGCATTTATAGGTAAAGTTGATCCAGGGGATATCCGATTGCCTCTCGGGGGATCAGGAAGGAATTTTTTCCCTTGCAGGAGCAAATTGGATCATGCTTTTGCTTTGTTTTTTTGCCTTCCTCTGGATCAACTGTGGGTATAGGATTATAACTTTTTTTCTTGGTTGAACTGGATTGACTTTTGTCTTTTTTCAAGTCAGTGTAACTGTGCAAAAATCTCTGTCAAAGGTGGATGTAAAATCTCTTGCAAAGGTGGACGAAACCAGATGTGAACATTCTGGCCTACAGATTCAATAGCAAGCTGAACAAATGTGTAGCCAGCCCAAAGGATCAGCCTTTGCAGTAGATGCTTTGGTGATTTGTGGACTCAATTCACACTTATTTATGCCTTACATATTTCCTTACACCTCTGGTGAAGGTACTCCCTTGAATGCTGTACAAAATAGTGGAAGAAAGGGCCCTGGTGATTCTCATCGCTTCACCATTGTCCCTAAAAGACGTGATGCACAGATATTCTCAGACTTCTGGTGGACAAGCCTTGGCCTCCTCCAAACAGATCAGATTTACCCATTCTACCCTGCTTCTCAGTCGCTAGCTTTACTGGCGTGGCTGTTGAAACCCAAGTCCTAAAGAATAGGGATATTACTGACTCGGTTATTCCCACCTTACAAGAAAATCCAAAGTAAAAGATTTACCATTGCACATGGAAGGCTTACTATGCATGGTGTGAAGGCAGACTGATGAACCCCAGGGAATATTTTATTACTTGTATTTTGTCCTTTCATCAGTCAGGTCTTGAGCACTCTCAAGGAACAGATTTCTGGTTTATCCATTCTCTTCCAGAAACCACTTGCCTTGCAATCCCTAATAAAGACCTTTCTTTAGGGATTTGCTTATATATTCGACCTCCTGTGTTACATAGGGATCTCTACTTCATGCTGTCTGTACTTCAGAGACCCCCATCCTATTACAGCGATTCATTTGGAAGATGTCGCAGGTAAGGTTGCCTTCCTGGAGGGCATTTGGTCTGTTAGGCACATTTCTTGAATGGCAGCCTTTCTTGTAAAGAGCCCTTTCTTGTTTTGCACAGGGACAAGGTGGTCTTGAGACCAAAACCTTCCTTTTTACCTAAGAAGATCCCTTTTTTCCACCTCAGTGAGTACATTGTTCTCCCTTCTCTCTGTCCTGCTAGGCAAAGAGAATTCCCTACACTGCTTAGATGTGGTAAGGGCTGTCAGGGTATACCTAGCAGCCACAGTCTCTGTTTGCAAGGCTGATTACCTCTTTGTTCTGCCTGTAGGTTCTCAGAGGACATCTGCTTACTGCTCCATCATTGTCAAGTGGATCAGACAACTACAAAAACTGTAACTGCTGACTTTTAATAAAGAGTCACTCACCTGTTCATGGATCCAGCGCTGTCCTCACCCAAGCCAGTTTCTTCACCAGACTTCGGTCCCTGATGCCAGCATCTTAACTGTGGGCAGCCAGCTGTGACTGCATGTGACCTCTCAGCCCCAGCCCAGTGCACACGTGCGAGCCCCTCTGCGCTTTCTGAATGGTCCCACAACCTTCGGGTACCTCCCAAAACCAGTTCCTTCCCCCACAAAATGTGCTAAATATGTCTGAGGAGGAGGAACAGCAAATCTTGCCCTTTTGGGTGAAGTTCTGCTTTAAAGCTGAACCCTGGACACAAAAACATTTATTCAAATAGATTTCTGTATAGCCACAAAAAAAATATACTCTTTGTGTGCACAAAGTGTCTCACAAACCCTGATATTATCTTGTAAAAGTAGCAGTGACTTCATCACTGGGCTGTACTGTGCAGAGAGCAAAACTATGGGAAGGACCAAGCAGACTCCACCCACTAAAGGCTACCTGCAGAACAATAACAGGAGAGGCAGAGGCAAGACCAGTCACCCTGCACTAGAAAGCAGCAGTGATTGGTCTTTTATTACAGGCAGCTCCTGCAGAGAGGCAACATTTCATGCTGGATTCCTGCGTACATCCTGGAAGAAATACACAAAAGCACACCAAGATTCAAGGAATAACACGCATGACTGTTTATTATTTTTATTTTATATTTTTAATATGATTATATTATTTGCATATCCTGGAATTCAACTTAAGTCTAGGTTCACAGCTATGCAGGTTGCGTTTTGGGGTGTTTCTGCATTGTGTTGTGTTTTTGATGTGTTTTTGATGCATTTTTGATGCGTTTTGCATTTTTTTTTCTTTTGTTTTCTTCTTGTTGCTAGGAGGATTTTAAATGCAAAACGCATCAAAAACATGGCAAAAACGCAATACATGCTTTTCTGCAGCATTCCCATTGAGGTCTATAGAAACAAAAATGCAAAGTTTTCCATTAAATAAAGTCTCTGACCCTTTTCAAAAAAACACACTGGGTGAAAACGTGGAGATGTGAACCTGTCCCATAGGAAGTTATGTTAAATGAACTGTACTGTGTTTCTGCAAAATGCTGCAGGAAACGCTTAGGTGTGCACCTAGGATTAGGGATGGTTCAAATCCAACTGCAGTCCGTTGTGTTTTTATTCTGCTTTCCAATGCAGTCAACAAAAGTAAAACATGTTGCATTTTTTTCTATCTGGAACATGAAAATCACATAAAAAATGCAATGGAAAAAAAACCTCCTCAATTGTGATAAGAAAAAAAAGAGGGGAAAAAAACCTTACCAGAATGTATCAAAAACACTCTTGTGGAAACACATCCAGAATGTAGAAACAGTAGCATGAACTGGCTCTAAAAGTGTATTTTAACTTTTGCAGTCAAATTGGGAAAACCCTACTAAACTAAAAAAAAAAAAAACCTTTTTACATGTTTCTCAGTAGGAGGGCTCATGGTTGACTAATTAACCTTTAACACTTAAACTGGCCATGGATGAATCTCTTGATTCTTCCATCATCACAGTTGATGGGGGAATCCCTTCCGCCGAGCCATTGTCAGCCATTGACAGGTTCTCCCTCCGGGAGAACACAGTGCCTATTGCTAGCGGCTATAATAGCCACTCGGAATAATCGCATGTAAAATCTGTCAGCCTGGTTGTACCCGAGTTAATTGATCAACTTGGGTACATTCAGCCTGCCCATACATGGTTCTAACCTTGGCCGGTCTCTGCTGAACCAGCCAAGATTCGAACCATCTTTGGCCAGCTTTAGTTAGCACAGGTAATGTTCAAATCTAGTTTACAACTGATAATTAAGATCTTCATGTACAGTACAGACAGGGTTAATTATGGCAAACACAGCTGTCCAGCCCCCTCATAAACAAAGAGAACTAGCAGTCTTATAGTCCGGAACAGAACATACATAAAAAGGTAAGATGCGATTTTGAAATATTTTTTTAAGTTGTGATATGTGAATGAGAATGTGTAAGAAATCTATAGTAAGGGGTTATCCCAATATGGCTGCAAAAATGGAAATACAGTGTAGGGAAACGTTTCCCCCCTTCCTCATCCTCATTCCACTGGGGCTGATGGTGTTACTTGGACTTTTCAGCATCAGGTGTCTATAGCTCACATTTGCAAGGCCACCACATGGTCCTCTGTTAACACATTGTCCAAGTTCAACCAGGTAGATGTTCAGTCCTCAGCATAAAGTGATCTTTGATTGCAAGTTTGTTGCCAGTATCTAGTCACCGGAAAGTAGCCTTCATGTAAACCATGGTCTATTAATACAAGTCCTATGTCTTGTACTATACTCCAAGATAAACGATTTACATGCAAGTCAAAATTCCGTGGTTTTTTTTATCATTTATTTTGTAAAATACTGTGCAACAGTGGGTGCATAATGAATATGATCTATAGAATAAAGTCAAGAAAATGTAGTAATGTGAAGCCATCATCTGAACCAAAATAACCACTCACAATGGGATCTGCTTGATGCAAATGCTTTTCCCAGGTTCCTGGCTATGTATGTGAATGGGCCGGGTGACCTCAGTGGTTTCTAGGGATGAAGCAAGTGTAGGCATCTGCCGCTTATTTAGCAACACTTGAAAGCAGAAAGCTTATACTCATCCACACCGAAAGCCGTAATGTGATGAATATTCAGTCATCCCTATTCATGATCACTAAAGCCCATGTCTGAATATAGTTTTTATGTCCTCCCCATGTTTGCATGATAGCCTAATTGGCTTCCACCCATATAATGTTCCTAGTGTGCTTGTCTTCAATTCTTATGAAGAAATATTAGATTTTGAGAGCAGATATTGAATTGAGTGTTGTGTGCAGTGTGTAAAGTATCAATTAGCTTGTTAAAGAACAGAGTTTATTAACTGTACTTATTTTCTTACATTAAGTACCTGTAATAAATTCCCAATAAACCTGCCTATGTCACATTGTTGTCATGATATAGAAGACTTGGATGTTTAAAACTAAATGGATATTGATTGATGTGGCTGATTATACATATAAAATTTAAATTTCTGGAATGTACATCTCCCTGTAAATATTTTTAAACATATGGTTACACATGTATTTCTGTATATGATTCCAGGATGGGATCCCTTATATAGGTTCAAGTGCTGGTACTAATGTGGCTACTGTTAGCATCAACACAACCAATGATATGCCAATTGTGTACCCACCATCTCTACTGGCTCTTGGATTAGTACCATTCAACATCAACCCTCACTACCTAGATCTAGATGTCAACAGCAGACACATGGGGGTATGTTTGTTTATTTATTTGATTGATTTATATATATTGTCAATTTAATTGAGGCTTTGTCAGTCCCCCTTCACACCTATGCATTTGGCTTGAGTAATGTGATGTGTTGCATGGCACCGCAACATACCATATTACGCAACATTAGCTGAACGAAAGCTGTCACCCAACAGGATCCAAAATGAATGTATGACTTTTTTGATATACAAACTAAAACATCAGAGTAACACTCAGCTTACACATTTCAGCCTACATGGCCTTAATCATAGCTGGCCACACAGAAACACAATCACAGTTTTATAACAGGGATCTGCACTCAAAATAGGGAGTCAATTAAAACCATTGACGAGATAATATAAACAAATAAGAAAAAAAAAACACACAATGCCAGACATATCTGGAACAAAAAAATCGGTTGCTACATTTTTAAGCAATATTGTGCTTTTGTACTCATGAACTGTATTTTAACCTATCTCTGATGGTGTTAAATTCAGTATTAAAAGCCAGTTCTGTAGAGCAATTCCTCCTAGCCTGTAGGATTTCCCTACAGGAATTTGCTCTCATAGTTTGACCAGGATGACAACTACTGGCCATTAGGGTAGAGTTTCCTGCACACATTTTGCAATATGTCTTTTTCGCCTCTCTACTGGAATCATAATCAGCCTCAAGAGTGATTCCAAGATAATCGGTCAGTTTTTGTGACATTGATATGTATAATTAAACTTTAGATAGCTCACAGAGCAATTGAGGTCTTTCCATACTAACTCTCCATATCAGCAATAGGTCATCGACATTGATACAGTTTACCATACTAGTGAATATACTGTTTATAAGGATTACAACTGGAAAAATCACAAAGCTCTTTCCATTATGCATCATGCTATTATGTAGTGAGTTGCAGTGCCATTGAGCGCTGGAGAGGCAGAGCAAAGAGCCAGTGACTGACATTCATCAGCTTTCTCCTCACTGAAGACAAAGAACTACGCAATCAGTGGGCTTTGATCACTCAGTTCTCTGTCACAAGCCACTTACATGAAATCATCAGTAGGATTTTTAGTCAATTATGTCCATTTATTGTTCACTGTGATGTTACTTAAAGCGGAGTTCCAGCTGAAAAAAACAAGTCAGCAGCTACAAAAACTGTAGCTGCTGACTTTTAAAATACAGACACCTGTCTCTTGGTCCAGCGGTGTCCTTGCTACGGCTGGTTTCACTCCCCGGCGCCGGCATCTTCAGTGTGGGCACTCGGCTGTGACAGCTTGCGGCTTCACAGCCGGGTGCCTACTGTGCATGCGCGAGAAGCACTTTGTGAATGGCCCCATAGTCTTCTGGGACCTATCGCGTGTCCCAGAAGACTACAGAGAGAGAGGGGGGAGGACAACTTCTACTTCCTGTCAAATTCGGGTACCTGCTCCCCAAAAGTGCCACTCTTTAATGGGGAGCAGGGGACAAAGGCTTAAAGCGGAACTTCCCCTTTTGGGTGGAGCTCCGCTTTGAATATGTTATCACTACATACTAATGTTCTGCTTTCTCTGTTCAGGAGACACGAGAGCAACGGATATCTCAGTACCACGAAGAACCAGACACTCCTCCTGTCCTTGTATGTATGAACTGAATCTAAGCATATCTTGCATTTATGGGACACTGTCAGCAGGGTTTGGTTTTACAGTAAGCTATTGCTAGCTAATCGGCTACTAAATTGGTTTTTCAACTTCAGTTTTTCTGTTTATCATAGAGGAATAGTTATCTATTGTCATGGCTACTAAAGACATACAGTGGGGAAAAGAATTATTTGATTCTCTGCAGATTTTGTAAGTTTGCCCGCTTACAAAGAAATGAAGGGTCTATAGTTTTTTTTATCATAGGAGTATTTTAAATGATAGAGACAGAATATCAACCAAAAATCCAGAAAAACACAATACAAATGTTGTTAACTGAGTTGCAGTTCAGTGAGTAAAATAAGTATTTGGTCCCCTACCAACCAACAATAATTCTAGCTCCCACAGACTGGCTATGTGCTCATGTGGTACACAGATTAGTCCTGTCAATTTAAGAAGGTGCTCCTAACAACTCGTATAAAAGACACCTATCCACAGAATCCCTTTCTTGGGCACCACCATGGACAAGACCAAAGAGCTGTCAAAGGACGTCAGGGACAACATTGTAGATCTGTACAAGGCTGGAATGGGCTACAAGACCATCAGCAAGATGTTTGGTGGGAAGGAGATAACTGTTGGAGCGATTATTCACAAATGGAAGAAATACAAAATAACCATCAACCGCCTTCGGTCTGGAGCTCCAAGAAAGATTTTGCCCCATGGGGTAAGGATGATCATGAGAAAATTGAGGGATCAGCCCAGAACTACATGGGAGCAGTCCCCAAACAAACCACAGGTAACGCAATACACTGCCAGGGATTGAAATCCTTCAGCGCCCGCAATGTCCCCCCCTCCTCAAGAAGGCACATATACAAGCCTTTCTAAAGTTTGCCAATGAACATCTAAATGATTCAGAGAAAGATTGGGAGAAAGTGCTGTGGTCAGATGAGACCAAAATTGAGCTCTTTGGCACTAACTTGACTTGCCGTGTTTGGAGGAAGAAAAATTCTGACTATGACTCTAAGAACACCATCCCTACAGTCAAGCATAGAGGTGGAAACATGCTTTGGGGTTGCTTCTTTGCTAAAGGTACAGGCCGACGTTGCCGCATTAAGGGGCCAATGGATGGGGCTATGTATTGTGAAATCTTGGATGAGAACCTTCTTCCCCCAGCCAGAACACTGAGGATGGATCGTGGATGGGTCTTTCCAGCATGACAATGACCCAAAACATACCGCCAAGGCAACAAAAGAGTGGTTCAAGAAGAAGCACATTAAGGTCATGGAGTGTAGCAGCATATCTGTAACACTGGTTTCATCCTGATCAGAATCATCAGAGTAAATGCACATGGCAGAAAAATTATATTTAATGATATAAATGCAGGTGTACCCACAGTGCGCTTTTGCTGAAGAATTTATGAACTTTTAACTTTTTTCATCATTTTTATTTATTTTATTATTCATGTTTACCCCCATTAGTGGACATTTTTATGATCATATATATTTTACATGCATGTATTTCTTATAATAATTTTAGCGCTGCACTTTCTTTATATATTTTATACTCAAGGCATTTTATGGTTTTGACATCAGTGCAACAGCTGCTTTCATTATCTACGTATTTATAGTTTGATGAACTGGCCAGAACTACTGTAGTTGTTGGGGGGGAGGCTTTTCCAGATTTTCACATCTCTTACTCTGAAGAAGCCTTTTCCTTATGTGGAAGTTAAATCTCTTTCTTCCAGGCATAAACAGTGCCCCCTTGTACTTTGTGATGACCTTATAGTGAATTAGGGGGTTCATGTTAAAGAATAGAGAGCTGTCATCATGTGCTAGGTGAAAGACTGTGCACCTTTTCTACATTCTTTCCCACTATTCACCCTAGAGGAAGCACCACCAGCTGCTACTCCTGTTTTTGCTGCCCTCCTATAGTGACTTGGTCACCTCTGGCTCCAGCTTACCAGGGTTGTGAGTACTTGAGGTCTTGCCTCACATTGGGTCTAGTTTCTGACCATCACTTCTCAAAGACAAGCAGGGGCCAGTCCCACTGTTTCAGGGGACCTCAGCCCATATCCACCTAATGGTGCTGGGGGCATTTACCCCAAATGGAACCAATGTCTGTAATGATGGAGCCTAGGACCCCTATGGCTACAGGGTCTTCATCTGTGGAGTCTTTTTCAGCTCTGTCTACAGATCTCTGATTATCTGCCATGGAGGACAGAGGAGGGATCAGGGGTCTAGTAGACCTTTTTGATCTCTCAATAAAGAGTACCTGTCACAGCCCAAGCTAATACAAGGGGTGTTGTTCACCCCTTGGGATAGTAACAACGCTGAATGAAAAAAGTGAAAAAAAATGTAAATAAAATAATTATTATTATTATACAAGATTTATATAACGTCAACAGTTTGCACAGAGCTTTACAAAATGAAGGTAGACATTACTGCTACAATACAATTTGGTACAAGAGGAAACAGAGGGCCCTGCTCATTAGAGCTTACAATCTAAGAGGAAGAGCTGAGTGATAAAAAAAAGGAAATATATGTGGGGGGATAAGCTAATGGGGGAAATAAAAGGCAGTTTACTAGTTAGGAGGATAGGCTTCTTTAAAGAGAAAGGAATAAATACAAAAAATTTAAAGCACCCTGCTCCCCAGTGGAAATGAAAATATGCACTTAGGTCCTGCACTTACAGTATATGTAAAAGGTGATTGCATCACACATGTGAGGTATCAGCATGAATATCGAGAACAATAATTCTAGTGTCAGAGCTCTGGTCACCTGTAAAGGATTTTGATGGATAGCCCGTGGATAATTTTAGTTACCGTAGTTTGTCACCATTTCACAGGCATGCTCAATTTTAACTCTTGACATGTTTGGTATCTATTTACTTGATGCAACATCATCTTTTATATTTTACCAGAATATTGGGTATTCTACTGTGTTTGTGTGCACTATAATTAACTTAAGTGTAGTTTATCCCGAAAATTTGCATATGATAAACAGCTGCTCAAATATCGTGCAAAATAAAAAATTGCAACAACCACCATTTTATTCTCCAGGGCCTCTGTTTTCAGAAAATATATAATGGTAATTATGGCACTTCCCTTTCCATTTAATGGCTAGTAGGGTTCTAGGGACTTGCCCTTTTTCATTGACTCTCCTGCTGTAGTTGACCTTTGGTCTTCCTTAGTCTCCCCCTTGGTACCTGGGAGTCTGGATTTGATTTTGAAACTAGCAGATGATCCCTATGGATCTAATAGTCCCTGATTTGCACTCTCAATCTCTTGGGGTCATTTGGTTGGTTCCTTCCCCCTGTTGTTGGAGGAGTCCAATCTCAGGGCTGTCGTTTTTTTGTCTGGGAATCAGGTCTGGTTCCCCATAGTATTCCATGACTGCCTCTTCGGGTTTGTCCCACTGTAAGTAGGTTCTTCGACTTGAACTCTGTGGAACGCCACCTTTTGTTCCTTGTGGATCTCTTCATCTTGTATTCTTCGTTTTGGGAATAAAGATTTGTGAATCTGCATTGGCTTTATCTCCTGCATGGGGTGGTTGTCTTGCCACTCCTGTCTCTTTTGGTGTGGGGTACATTATTCAGCCTCTGTAGGATTTCCTCAAAATATCTTCCCTGCTCCTGTCCTTAATCAGTTGATCAGTCTTGCTTTTCTATTGGTCAGAGGACCTATGGATTATGTCCTGGATCAGTCTCTCTGATGTAAGGTGTTGTTCAATTGGGGTTGTCTCTCCAACTCCTTAGATATTTTGACCATTTCATTCACCTTGGGGTATTATATCAGATAGTTATCTATCTTGATTATCTCCTATGAGATTGGATGGCTGTCCTAGACATTCTTGTTTTCTTGCTCTGACAAAGTCTAACTGACATAAGGTACAAGGCGGAGACCAAATGACGCAATCATGGAAGTTGTAGTTGAATGGTGAAACAGGCAGGATGGGTACCCAGCCGAAAGTGCTAACAGGAAGGGAGAGCAACTGATTCAATGGTCTCTGAATGCTAATTAAAGTATAACTAAAGGCATTTTTTTTTTTTTTTAGTTTTGGACAGAGGAGAGATGGATTAGAACAACAGTCAGGTTTTTATAGCTGCCTGTGCACCCGTTAGGGAGAGATACCCTATTTGTCCTATTTTCCATTATCATTGAAAGTAAAAGAAAACCCCAAATTTTGGGTTGTCCCCAGAAAAGTAATAGAGGGGAACTTTTCCAATGGGGACACTAGTTCTGGTGACCTGGAGGTTCCCAAGGGTCTTCCTTACTTTGCAGAGGTTCCTCTCACTTTCTGTTTTGGCTATTTATTATTAGCGCTGCACCTTTTTTCTATATAAATAGAAATCCAACAGTCATGATATGCATGCTGCTGATTCTGTGTAATTGAATCATTAATTGAAAGGGGCATGTTCAAAATAATAGCAGTGTGGAGTTCTCTTAGTGAGGTCATTCAATCTTTGAAAAACAGGTGGCAATTATTGCCCTTATTTAAGGAAGGAAGGCGGCAAATGTTGTACATGCTGGTTACAGTGCATTTCTCTCTGAAATTCTGAGGAAAATGGGTAGTTCCAGACATTGTTCAGAAGAACAGCGTACCTTGACTAAAAAGTTGATTGGAGAGGGGAAAGCATGTAAAGAAGTGCAGAAAATGATAGGCTGCTCAGCTAAAATGATCGCAAATGCTTTAAAATGGCAACCAAAACCTGAAAGACGTGGAAGAAAGCGAAAAACTACCATTCGAATAGATAGAAGAATAGCCAAAATGGCAAGGACTCAGCCAACAATCAGCTCCAGGAAGATCAAAGAAGGTCTAAAGTTACCTGTGAGTACTGTTACAATTAGAAGATACCTATGTGAAGCCAAGCTATCTGCAAGAAGCTCCCAAAAGTCCCACTGTTGAAAAAAAGATGTGCTGAAGAGGTTACAATTTGCCAAAGAGCACATTGACTGGCCTAAAGAAAAATGGCGCAACATTTTGTGGACTGATGAAAGTAAGATTGTTCTTTTTGGGTCTAGTGGCTGGAGACAGTTTGTCAGACGACCCCCAAACACTGAATTCAAGCCACAGTACACTGTGAAGACAGTAAAGCATGGTTGCGCAAGCATCATGATATGGGGATGTTTCTCATACTACGGTGTTGGGCCTATTTATCGCATACCAGGGATCATGGATCAGTTTGAATACATCAGAATACTTGAAGAGGTCATGCTGCCGTATGCTGAAGAGGAAATGCCCTTGAAATGGGTGGTCCAACAAGACAACGACCCCAAACACACCAGTAAACGTGCAACATCTTGGTTCCAGACCAACAAGATTGATGTTATGGAGTGGCCAGCCCAATCCCCGGATCTTAATCCAATAGAAAACTTGTGGGGTGACATCAAAAAATGCAGATTCTGAGGCAAAACCAAGAAATAGAGAAGAACTGTGGAATGTAGTCCAATCATCCTTGGCTGGAATACCTGTTCACAGGTGCCAGAAGTTGGTTGACTCCATGCAACACAGATGTACAGCAGTTCTCAGAAACAGTGCTTATACAACTAAATATTAATTAAGTGATTCAAAGGAAAGCAAAATCTTCAAACATTTTTCAGTTTATATAGTGAATGTTTGAGTTTGTAAAGAAGAATACAAACACTGCTATTTTTTTGAACAGTCTAATATTTACTTTTCTTCAGTTTTTTTTAGAGGAATAATACAAATTTGATCTATTTTTCTTCATGTTTTGATTTGGAATAGAATGTGTAGTGTTCCCAATGCATTTGTGTGTATGGAAATAAAAGCTATTAGAAGGATTTTGAACTTTATTCACTTTTTTCAACACACTGCTATTATTTTGAAACACAACTGTATATATACACACAATTGTATCGATTTGGTTTGCAAATGAAAGTTGTGATATTTTCTTGAATGGTAATTCTTATCATTTTTTCAGGGTCTTCGAGAGGGTTGTATGCTTCTAGTTGAAGGGAATAAAGCAACACTTCTTGGCATAACCAAAGCCCGACTGTTTGTAAGGTAAGAGCTGACTTCTTCTGAGAGGGCAGTTTATGATTACAAATGTGTGTTCGTTGGTTTCTATCGAATTGGGCATTTCATAAGTAAAAGTTTATTTCATTTCAAGTGTCCTTCACACAGAATTAATTGCTCACAATTACTTTTTCTTTAAAGAACATTCTCAGTGAAGAATACAGCATTACTAAACCAGTGTTTTTAGACAAAGTGGTTGTAAACCTAAAAAAACACAAATCAATCTAATCCCACAGTTGAATAGATTTTACTTTAACTAAGCATTTGAGCTTAGTTTGGTATCTTGTAGCAATCCCCTTCTCCAGAAATCCCCCCTGCTTTTCTGAACAGAATAAATATGACACAAGCAAAAAAATTGTCGCCACTTCCCTTCTCCTGTGAATGACAGGCTGTACTGAAGATGAGACCAGCATGAGCCTCCATGTAATACATTGCAAAGGGGGTGAGGGAGCGAGTGTCCTCTCCCTGCTGGTCTCTACCTTCACAAGATCAAGAACTGATGATCTTGTGATTTTTGACATAGGTACAGCATTACTAAAGTGTGATGCCGATCTATCTAGGCAAGTCTGCTGACAACTGATTATTGTCCTGCTCTATTCACAGCACCTAGCTTGTGAGTTGCTCTTTACATGAAAATGTTTCCTGGTCCACATTGCCACTGCAGGATTCCTAGGATTTTAACATTAACCCCTTCCTACCAGCTGTCTCCTGATTAGCACAGATCCTATGCTGTAAGCAGAGCTGACATGGTCACTGGCACCTGTGTATTCCCTGAACACTCAGGAGACATGCTCCCAGGCATAGAGATGTCAGATAGCTGTGCACGTTCTTGAGCTGAGGCTGGAGGGTTTGTATAACTGAGGGATTGTGTGACATCACAACTCCGCCTACTATTCTCTGGTCCTAAGCCACGCCCACAGACCAGCAGTTTTTGGAGGGCTGAGACAAGCTAAGGGAGCATTTTTCTGAGGTACACTCACAGCTGTACGTATGTTTACATTAAAATGTATTAATTTATGGCAAAAAAGTATTTTTTTTATTTGCATTTACAACCACTCTAAAGAAGAATTCCACCCAAAAATTAAAATCTATCTAAAGATTCATGCTACTTTTGACTATAAATGCCACAACAATTTTCATTGTCCTGATTCCCCTATAGTTTGGATCCTTTACATGTTGATCTTGACAGTGTTTCTGGGAATCCTGCATTTTGTGGAGGACCATCAAAGATAATACTGTGCCCTCAAATTCACAGTTATGTTGTTGACCTTCCAATGAGAGTCTCAACACACTTCACAGCCAAAATGTTCTCAAACTGGCATCCCACTTAGGGTTGTTGTCCACTGTAAAGCAGAGCTGACATTACCTCCAAGGTGATAGCAGAGGCATGTTCTTCCCACTTCCTGGCTTCAATTCAGCAGTCCCTCCCGATATCTGTAGAGGAAGAGGACAGCTCAAAGTTTTGGTGGTCACATAACCACCACATTACAATTTAGAAACTATGGATTTAATATCACTTTTTTAAACACTTTTGCTTCATTGAAAGAGCTCTTATTGCTGCACTCACCATATGTTTCAGTGCATAACTTGCCATCTACTTTAAAGTATACTGTATGTGTTAATCCTGAAACCACATTAGTGTTTTTTTTTTCACCAACAGGTTACCTTTGATAGGACATTTGATAAACCCTTACAAAACTAGTGTACTTAAAGCAGAGCTCCCTGCCTACTGCTGACAGCTTCAGCCCAACGGTTTTTTGGTATTAATCCCAGGGCTTTTTAATTGGTCAGGCCAAGATGATGTCACTCCTGCCCATGTGCAGTAGTTCAGTAATCTTGGCATTGCTGAAATGCTGCACGTGCTCAGCACATTGTACAGTACAGACAGGCAGGTAAGCAACTTTAATGCAGACGAGACATGGCGAGATGGGGTATGTATCTTCTGCATTAAATATCTTGCCTGTCCAAAATTTTTCATTAAAGTTCCACTTTAAAGGATCCATGGATCCGCGTGCTCAGCGGGGAATCTCCTCTGATAGCGCTGAGCAAGCAGATGGCAGGTCTGTGTGTGCTCCGCTGCTGGAGAGTGGACACAGATACAGCCGACTGTTTTCTATGGGGCGGTCAGATGGGAATGGACCGCCTGTCCGTTTCCACCCGCCTGTCACACAGGATCGGATGCCGGTGGGTGTCAGCAAACACATATCCGCTAATACACACTGCTCCATTGAAAGCTACGGATGGTCCACCTGAAAAACTGACAGGCTGACCCAGTTGCACAGTCAGTGTGAAAGGGGACTTAAGTATATCACACAATTTCTGGCAGCATCTACAGGTATTTATTGAACACTTTCAATGGTATATTTAACAGAAAAATAAGTTTACTCTTAGATTTTTACATGCAGTTTACCAGACCACACCAGGTCCCAGTGCAGGTTAGAAACAGAGGATCGTAATCTGATTGGTTGCTATCAGGGGCGGACTGACAACTCATGGGGCCCCCGGGCAATAGGGGATCATGGGGCCCCTGTGTCCTTGCCCACACTCAAACCACACCCAAAAAAAGCCTAGGAAAGGTACCAGGGGCCCCTTATTGACCCCGGGCCCTCAGGCAGTGCCCGAGTTCTCGAATGGTCAGTCCACTCCTGGTTACTATCAGTGGTTTGGATATGTTATTGTTATGAAATGTAACAACATTCTCTCTATTTTTTTGCGCAGAGGCAAAGACCCTACAGAACATGAGCCAGAACAAGACTTCAGCTTCCTCTTGGATCAGTGATGAACAAAAGATATAGTAAAACAAACATTTCCTGCAGTCTTTGATGTTTTTAATAAACTACGGGTTAAAATAGAAAATACAGTTATATAAAAAATGATGCACACTTTTTTTTTTTTTCCAATGCTTTTGCTTAATCAGGAGCTGCAGACAAAATGCAAAGGGTTAGTGACATTTGGGTTATAGATGGATGGACTTTACATGTCTAAAGCTGGCCATACACTAATAGATTGTAAAAGGAACGGTCTTACGAAAATGCTTAGTACAATCTTTAAGGACTTGACAGATGTTGTTCAAAAGTACTTCAAAAATTGAATTTGCTTTAAACCTTCGATTTAGGAATGAATTACCTTTCCTCAATAAAAACCTCATGCACTGTTAGAAATTCATTCATTTGAGAAAAAAAAATGCTGTCCTTTTTTTCTCATCACTGTGGTTAAATACAGATGCCAATTTGACTCCACTAATGATTAGAAAATCAAAAAGCATTCTTGAAAAAACATTTGAATGAAATTCTACCTGTGTATGGCCAACGTCAGATATCACAACAGCTAGCTCTCCCTGCAAAGTACTGTTTTGATGGTTTAAAGCAGTGTTTCTCAACCTTTTTACCTTGGAGGAACCCTTAGCAAAAAGTTTGAGATCGCGGGGAACTCCCGAAAAAAAAATGTCAGATCTACAGCTCACGGAACATTGGATCTGATCAGTGAGCTGTAGATATAACAAACAAATGCAGAGCAGTGCAGGGAAGCTGCATGCCCCCCACTAGTCCTCCTCTCGTCCATCCCAGGTGATAGTACATTTAACAGCCTGGGACAGACAAGAGGAGAACCTGTGCGGAACAGTGCAGTAAATAACAATATGCTTCCCTGCAAAGCTCTGCAAGTCCATAACACAAGGTTTCTCACTTGGGGTTCCACTGCAAGACCAAATTGTGACAGATGTATATCCACCCAATGTTGTTTTTAATACGCACTGACAGTGCACATTGATACCTGATGCCTTCTCTGTAGTTGTGGTTCCTGTGAACTCAAGAGGGTGGCGTGGAGTGCAGAGAGTGGGAACACATGGCTTGATCAGAAGGTGACATCTTGTGTATGGCACCAGTGAATGCAGACTGTGGAGGGGGGAAGCAGAAAGTGGGAACACATGGAATAATGTAGCAGGGGGTGACATCGGGTGTATGGCAGTGCTGAATGAAGACTGCAGGGGAACATAGCTGGATGAGATTGAGCCTGGGTTCACAATTGTGTGGTGCGGTATATCGCATGTGATTCACACAGGAACTGCACCGCATTCCTGTGCAAATCACATGCGAATTTTGTGCGGTGCGATTTGAGCCATAAATTTTGTATGGCTCAAATCGCACCGCATCCGCACCAAAAAGGTGCAGGACCCTTTTTTTTGGTCCGCACTAAAATTGGATAGCATGGGTGTACACACCCATGCGATCTGATTCTGCACATCTCACAGTGTTTTGTGGACCGATTTCAGGGTGTTGTTAACATAACATACACACCCACATTGGTTCGCATGAACGGGATGCGATTGTGATGTGGTGCGGAATTCGCACAGAAACCGCTGCGAGTTCCACACCGCTTCATTGTGAACCCAGGCTCAATGTAGCAGGAGGTGAGATCATAATAGCTTTATGTACAGTTATGGCATAATATAGAGCTAATATGATCTCACCTCCTGCTACATTCAGTCTGTTCCTACTGTGCGCTCCCCCTCTCTGCAGTCTGCATCGCTGCTACCAAACACTGGATGTCACCTCCTGTTTTAACTATGTGCTCCTTCTCTCTGCTCAACCTCCAGTCTGTATTGACTGCTGCTCTACACACACAGTGCTCCGTCCCTCTGCACCTCCTTCCCTGCACTCTGCTGGCACCACTACACAGAATCATCAATAGATCTCACCTAGTGTTCCAGTAACGGGCTTACGCTTTGTGCTCCCTCCCACCGTCTTGTGATCAGTGCTGCCTTAGAAAGTGAAACCTCCCCCTTCAGCTCCTGCTCTGTGTAGTACTCCCAGTGCATCCCTCTGAGTTCACAGGAACTAAGGAGGAGGCATCAGGTATCAATGCGCACTGACATTACTGTCAGCGCGTATTAAGAACACTACTGCAAACAACATTGGGCAATATACATCCGCCACAAGTAGACAGCTAGAGGGGGGATTTTCTCTCTCCCTCTAGCTGTCAAATGTAAAAAAAATGTGGCCGTGTGGGGCTCTTTCCATCTGGCCGTCTGTGTCACTCATTCACAGTCCTCTGTGAATGAGACACTACAAGACCCAACAACTTTAATAGCTGTCGGCTTGTAGTCCTCAATGAACTACCACGGCATTGTGGTAGTTTGATTCTTCCTGTCAGTATATCTGCTTGCTTGTACATCCCGTACGGCAAGCAGATATACTGACAGATCTGCATGGCACCAGCGATCTGCTGATTGCTGGTGCAATGGTTTCCAGGCTCCTGCAACCAAAAATAATAAATTCATATTTTTTAACCTGTAAAAAAAACTGCATTTATTATTTTTGGTAAAAAGGTGAACTTATCCTTTAAAGAAGAAATCTGGGCAAAAATGTTAATGTCCCATGCAGTAGGGCCATGCCCGCACTGCATAGGTTAAATGCTCATTTTTGTCTAGGGGTTTGTAGAGATATATTTACCCAATTTGCTGATCCTCTGAGCGCAAGAACAAACCTGCCGCTTCCCCCCCCCCCCACGCTAGTGGTCTTGTGAACAGACTGTTCTTGACGTCATCACACCCATACACCAGCTCTGAACGTGAGGACAGCGGGAACAGTCCAAAGCTAGATGTGGGGGAGCGCGTTTTTTGGGAGGACGGGGTAAGTTAAGCTTTTCCCTGAGCCCCTAGACAAAACGAGCAGTTAACCAATGCAGTGCAGGCACAGCCCCACTGCATGAGAATAGAAAAAAAATTGACTGGAGTTCTGCTTTAAAGCTAAACCCCAGGAAAACAGCTAAATAAACATAAGGAGGTGGATTTACCTGCCAAATGATCTGCATTTGTCTATTCATTCTTGATATTCATTGAGTCCCATTTCCAACACAGTAAGGATAATGCCACAATTTTCTCTATTACAGTTAGGGAATGCAGTGGTGTATGCTCCCTGGCTCCAGCCCACTGATTGGACAGAGCTAGAGTACATAATGATAAAGACTCTTCCTGTCCACTTGTTGCTTGGCATCACATTTGCATGCAGATCAGCTGATTGGCTCCTTCTACTGCTAGTTTGAGTGCTGATATATAGGGAGTTGTAATAATACCAAGTCATATTCTGGTACTTTGTATTTACCAATATATCCTTAAATGCAACACGTTTACAATTGCAGGGAAGTGGTAGAGCTGATTGCTAGTAGTCATATCCAATGGGCTTAAATGACTGAGGATATGAGCAAATGCATGAGATCAGTACACAGAATGTGTCTGCTGTGTACTTTGTCTTTACTTAAGGATGATTAACATTCAGGGAGCAGACTGGATACTAGAAAATATTGGGGCTATGCTTCTGACCATATATAAAAGACAAGAATATTGGAATTCAGAAAAAAATTTATAAAAAGTTCACTTTTGGGAATATGTTACGTTCCACCTGTTTCTAGGGTTTAACATGTTCCCAATGTTACAGCCGCTGCCCAATCCACTTCCCTCCTGTGACAGCAGTACGGGGAGCTTCTCCCCGTACAAGCTGTCAGTTCTGCCCACACGTCCGTGCGACTGTCGACTTGTAGTTCTCAATGAACTGCCACGGCACTATGGTAGTTCATTGATTTTTCCTGTCAGTACATCTGCTTGCTCGTATATCCCATACGGATAAGCAGATATACTGACAGGTCTGCAGGAGACCTGCATGGCACTAGCGATCTGTTGATTGCTGATGCAATGCTTTACAGGCTCCTGCAGCAAAAAATAATAAATGCACATTTTTTTTTTTACCTGCAAAGAAAATGTGCATTTATAATTTGTTTGTCAAAAGGTTGTATCCTGTAACTGGACTAAACTGTGTAATTTTCTTCAGATAGTTCCCCATTCCCTGTTAATATGTAAACATACTAAAATGGCTAAATGGTTAGCACTTCCGCCTGGCAGTACTAGTGTCGTTGGTTCGAATCCCAACCACGGCACCACCTGCCTGGAGTTTGCATGTTCTCCATGTGCCTGCGTGGGTTTCCTCCGGGTACTCCAGTTTCCTCTCAAACTCCAAAGACATGCTGGTAGGTTAATTGGATCCTGTCTAAATTGTCCCTAGTATGAGCATGTAAGTTAGGGACCTTAGATTGTACGTCCCTTGAGGGTTAGGGACTGATGTGAATGTACAATATATATGCGTAAATTGACAGGGCTATATAAGTACCTGAAATAAATACCCACTTGACTATTTACAAGGGGTATTGCAGGCTGGGAAGTAACAATAGTAATGTGTATCTAAAATCCTATTACCTCTGTCAGGCATTTTCGGCAGGCCTGAAAGTGAGGGGGAAAAAAAACTTAAAAGTTTAATGGAACAGGAGAAGAGGGGAGATCATTTGATGTGTTCTGGTGACAACTGTCTATTAATGGATTTTCACTGTTTTGAAGAGTTCCTCATACTTCTTCTTGTGTCTATGGGACAGCAAGTTGTTCTACTCAGTTCTAGCAAGGAATATCACATTTTTTTTCTCCATTTACATTCAACCAAGGTAAAAATGGCTTTAGGTATACTTTAATCTTTACTGTGTGTAAATGATATATTTAGCAGAAATGCAGATACAATAAACCATATGCCTACTTTGGTGTACTCTGTGCCTACATCCTGGATAAATACAAATAAAGGACAGCAAAACCGAAGACATTCCATTTTATTCTCTGCTGCCAAAAGTTACAGTATATACAACATACAATTCAAATGTATTCTGTACAAAATACTAACTCATTACAGTTTACAAATCTGAAGTTTCTAGAAAAGTGCAAAACATTTTAAAATCATCCACAAT